GCATTTAAGCATTACTACTTTTTGGAAATTTATTCCAAACGGCAACACCAAAGCTCTGGTGTAAGTGAATAATATCAACATAGCTTCCAGAAATAAATGTTAAGGATAAGGTTTACAGACTGGCCCTGGATAAAGTTTATACACTCTTCTCGATATTTCAGAACTAAAAGATTCTCGTGACCAAAATATATGTACATACATACATACGTGAACCAAGTGAAAATCTCTCTCTCTTCCGTGTTGTCGTCATATCCGCGAATCGCTAAACTTCGAATACTTGCGAAATTCATGTTTAAAGATATTTATCCCTATAAGATTTTTGTCTTTCGCGAGCAATCCGAATTGAAACCAGAGGCATAACTATTATTATAGTAAGAAAAAAATGTTTCGAGTCATCTATAGCTATAACTGTTAGACTTACATATGTATGTATGTATGTTTATAACAAAAGTATTTTCAAAATAATTACACCAGTCAACACGATTTTGGGTCTGACTTCTACATGCTAAATTTAAGTTTCTCCTACGCTAAAAATAAGAAAAAACAATTTTTTTTTTATCAAAGTTTGGTTTTGTAAAAGCTAGAGCAATTTTTAATTTTTTCTTGAAAAATCACTAATTTGTATATATTTATTTTTTATAATTTTACTTTAAATTATGATTAGAAAAGTTTTTGCTGAATCAATTCATTTTGATCAATTGGTCGATTTGAATTTCAAGTGTTTTTCTTATGTTTTGAATGAGAATCTAAGCATGAGAACAGAAACCCAAGGAAAAAAAATGTTTTTGTTGACCGGTGTTATGAGCGAAAACTAGTCCCGAAAAAGTCCTGAAATATTCCTAAACTAAGCCCATAATGATTTCGAAAAAGTCTTAAACCAAATAGTCCCGAAATTATTTCAGAAAAATCCCGAACTAGTCCCGAAATGTTCCCGAGCTAGTACCGAAACAGTACTGAACAAGTTTCATTCTTTAAGACTTAAAAATTGTTTCCTCACTAATAACTCGAACTCGAACGAGCCAGATTCGGATTCAGTGAGTCGAAATACATGTCAGTAGGTTGGACTGTTTAAATGAAAATAAAAATCTTTGAAGACTTAAAAAAATTTATCTCGCTGATAACACAGTAGGAAGGCAAAAATATTACAACTAAACGGCCAAACACGTAAACTTAATTTTAACCTCTAAATTATGATACATAAGTACCGTTCTCAGAAAATCTGTATCACGTCTAAAATTTGAGATACTTAAGGAAGTTCAACAGAGAAAGAACAAATCAAGCTACTATTGAAGGAAATCGGTGGATAAATAAAAGAGTGCGGCATAGGTAAATGAAAATGTCCATTAATATTTTTATATGAAATTGACGGATATGAGGTAAATGTTTAGTTGTTTAGCAATCTCCAATTAGAAATATTTATTACTTTCTTTACAAATATTGAAACATACATATTCCTCTATCCATAATTGACTTAGTCATACATATTTTTATACGGTCAAATACCAGCGTACGATATACAAGCTTATACAGCCGAAACCGGGTAATTGCAATTTTTACGGCCATTCCGTTGAATTAACAGCGGTTTTCAATTAGCAGAACTTTGGTTAAATGCAACAGTAGTCAATTAAGTGAACTTTTCAATTTCATAATTCGAACTAAGTCAGCTGGCTCGACAAATTTTATGAAATCAGCTGATCAGTGATCACTTATTAGGTGCGTTCGTTTAAAATCTCCAGTAAAAACCAACCAACTGCCAAATTCCGGCGAAATGTCATCTGTTCTCTCACAAGAGAAAAATATCCCAAATAGTATGCGAACAGAAAATTTGCAGAAACTTGCAAATTAGATGAACAGCTGATATAATTTTTGTTTACATTCAAAAGTGTAAAATTTAAAACGTACGAAAAGCCAACACAAAGTGTTATACTGACACAGTTTATTGATTAAACAAATAACTACTTATTTCTTACAAGTTTAATTAGTCACAATTTGTAATTTTTAACTTCCAAACCATCAAATTCAATTTTGTGATTTGCGTAAATGCCAACCAGTTGATCAGCTGTTTTCCTGTTGGCAAATTGCTGTTGGCAAAAATTTTTCCAGCAGCTTCCCCTCAAAATGAAATGTCACTTTGCTCTCTCAATTTCCCCTACTTTGAAAGTTTTTTGCGTACGCGAACGCAAAAACTGGTAAGTTTTGGTTAAACATGAACAATTAACAGCTACGCGAACGAACCTAATTGCGTGAACCGAGTTGATATTTCGAAAACAGTTCCAAGGTCGTTTTATGTTGTGAAGTTGAGTTGAAAAAACAGTTGCATTTAAACGCATCGGAACTAGTGTATATATTTTCGAATTTCGGAACATAAATGTTGTTACATCCATCTAATATTTTCATTTAGCCGAAGTCTGAAATAATCGATGTAATGTAATAATTTATATGAAAAATCTAAAGTAAAATTGGGGCCAGAGTTTCCGTGTCAATTAAACAGAGCGTTAAGTGAACTGGTTTGCAGCTATCCGGTTTGAACTGTTGCGTAATATCTGCCCACCGAACTTAACTTGTTTTAAACTGAACCTCCGGAGGTTTTCCGTGTATATAGGTATACGAACGATATCAATCCAATTGCGTCAGCGTGCTTCATTGTAAAATATCATATCCTGCTGAGGCATCATCAATTTACATTAAATTACAAAACCATTATGTTTTCCAACAGTATTAACACAGACGTAATCATGTAATGTAATGCAATGTAATGTAATTCAAGTAATTCAATGTTATGAAATGTAAAGCAATGTCATGTAATGAGATGTAGTGTAGTCCAATGTAATGCAATGCAATGTGGCATAATAGGGCTGTTCAGGATGTTGTGGAAATGGTCTTGGATATGCAATTGGTATTGCATTTGCAAATTTTTTGCTGGCTGCCATGGCAGCAGTGTGCATTTTATTGTTGTGAATTTATAAATGCAACGAATATGCAAATCCAAGAGCATATGCACAAGATCCCTAACAGCCCTAATGTAATGTATTGTAAGATAATGTAATGCAATTCAACGTAATGAAATGTGATGTAATTTAATGGAAAATTTGAATCTCGAAGCTCCGAATATCAAATATACCCATCCCGTAATGTAACGTAATTTAATATAATGTATTGTAATGTAATGTAATCCAATGTAATGTAATGCAGTATAATTTAATGTATTTTAATATAATTTAATGTAATGTAATGCAACGTCATTTAATACAATGCAATGCAATGTAACGTAATGCCATGTAATGTAGTGTAATGTAATGTAATTCAATGTTTTTTTACTGTTTTGTAATATTAAGTTAAATTAAGTTAGTAGAGCTAAATTAGGTTAAGACGCCAAGAGGTTAGAGGCCTATGAAGCAATAAATTAAGGTATATTTTTAAGTCAGTGGCTATAACGGTTATATATAAAAATTATAATTTAAGCGTTATTTTATAATTTTTATTTTTTAGATCAAGAATAATCGTTATTTTTTGTATTTTTACTTTATCATAATTTATTTGTTTTTATTTTTTCGATAATTTTATAACTGTTATTTTTGGATAAAATTTTTTAGACAATAACTGATTTAAGTCGGTCCATAAAACGCAACCTCCATCGAAAAAAATTAAAAAACATATTTGACGATGTTTTGCAATGATCTAAAAATAAATATTCTGATATTTAACGGTTATTTTCGGTTCCTGATTTAAATTAATATGCCAGTTAATTTCTATTAATTTTCTAAGCAGTATTATAATCGTATGTACACTTACGATCAAAAAAAACAGTAGCCCAACATTTTGACTGGTTTTGACTATTTTAATTTGTTATTAAAATATAGCTTATAATATAACTAAAACTAAGAATTAAAAGATTCAAAAAATTTTTGCAAAAATTTCAAACACAATTTGGTCGCGCCTTTTTTTCTATACAAAAAATGTTATTTAATTTTTTAAATAAACAATAAAACCTTAAAGGTATAAGCAGGGGTGTTTTTTCCTAACATTATCGATAATACAAAATGACGTTTTGCTATGAGTGGTTTAAAAATCAAACCAAAATGTTTTCATTCTAGTTTCTGGGTTTAATATATAGAAAATTTTGTTTAAAATCTAAACCGAAATAGAAAATGTTTGCCTCAATATGCTTTATTTTATATGTCTCTCAGAGAGAGACAGAGCAAATCTTATGAACTGCCGGCATCAACAGAGCGATATCATCCACACAAAATACTTATGTTCTAAAATATGTACTCGTATTTATATATCGAAGAAAATGCACAACTTCGAAATTGCACCTTATTATATTGAAATTAAATTGGCTATAAAAAGGCAAACCCAAAACTTTTCTGAAAAATCTGATTAAAAAATTTTAAGTTATGATAGCAAATTTGTGAAACTGGTTGAATTTTCGCGAATTTCGCATTTATTGACAAATTTTACATGGCAAAATTACTTGATTGGTTTATGAATTACGAATGAGCCGTAAACTGCAATAATGTGAAAATGCTTTATAAAATACTTTTTCAGTTCAAAATTTTCAAATCGCTCAAATTAAAACCCCGAAAATTAAATCATGTTTTAAAAAATCATGTTACTTTTATATTTGTGTAGTCAATTTAAACTTATTTGAAATGTGGACCCAAGTCGCCTTCCCCCTCTCCTTCCCCCTCTCCCCCTCAACGAAAAGTCTTTATCCGCCACTGCCTCCAAATGTGTGTTCAGGCATCTCCATTTGTGCAACAACATCAAGACGCAAACCGCAACCTGGCGGAGAAGTTCGGTTAAACAAGTAGAAAAATGTGTAAGCGCCAAATATTTATTTTCTTTTTACATACATACATATGTAAATATTAATACTAATTTTACTCCTTGTACATAGATAGTATAGGCAAAAAAGCATACCATATAATTTCCATTATCGACTAATTTATGTCAAAGAGCCTTAACTAAACAATTTATTTTTTTCTTCTCTACAGATCGGTGACAATACATTTCCAAATCTAATGGCTCTACTTACGTCGTACAATCCATCCACTGCTTATGATAAATGTAAACCAAAATCTGTAGGTGGTCTGAATAAACCAGTTTGCAATCTAATTTGGAATAATTTTAAAGAGTACGGCTACAAAACAGCTTATGCAGAAGACGAACGCTCGTTGAGTACGTTTAATTATCTAAAGAAAGGTTTTGTGCAACCGCCAACGGATTATTATTTACGGCCCATGTTCATGGCCATTTCAAAAAATATGGTCGTAAAAAAGCGATCAGGCCTGTCATATTGTATCGGTCGCAAGCATTCTGGCGAATACGTTTTTGATTACGCATTGCAATTTGCGAATGCTCTACCTGCAGATCCGCTCTTCGGACTATTCTGGACAAATTCATTCAGTCACAACTCTTTCGATACGACAGCCACAATGGATGTGAAGATTTTAGAATATCTTAAGGAAATGAAGAGCGCTGGCATACTGGAGCGTTCAATTGTGTTCTTTTTTGGTGATCATGGAAGCCGTTGGGGTCCATTGCTTGGATTAAAATCCGGATTCTTAGAAGAACGTTTGCCGATGATGTTTCTATCACTGCCAACGTGGTACCGAAACGAACATCCCGAGTTCGTAGAAGCTTTGCAAATAAATCAAAATCGTTTAACTACGCCCTATGATATCTATGCGACAATGAAGCATATACTTGAAGAGACAAATCGGGAAAAAGACTTTCCATACCTCAATGGCACAGTGAGGGGGCTAAGTATTTTTCGAGAAATACCCGAGAATCGTACTTGTGAAGAGGCCGGTATCACTGAGCACTGGTGCACTTGTGTGGCATATGAAACTGTACGTACCAGCGATGCTACGGCAAAAATTGTAACAAAATTGGTTATACAGGAAATTAACCAATACCTTGAGGATAAAAACATTAGTAGCAAATGCAGTCCACTAACTTTGAAGAGCTTGAAGAAGGTTGACAAGAAATTATTTGATTTACCAAATCGGTCTACATATAGATTAGATTTCACAGCAAAACCGAAAGATCCACAATTTCAAGC